CCCCCCCCTATTTACGCTCCTGCCTCTCATGAGTCCGTGAATCGATTAAAAAAACGTTTTTCATACATATGCCAGTAGATAATTAATTTTCATAATTTCCAACATAAAGTAAAATTTGGTTGACTTCGAATATTGATTCATCTTTTTAAATGTGATGCAAAAGAATGTGTTTTCATCAATAGTTTGAAGAAAATTCAAATAGAACCAGAAACAGTAAAACTTATGAAAAATCTTCAGCGACTATTTCATCTGAGGAACTAACAGCTACTTATTAAGAGATAAGATAATGAAGTTTCCTTACAACAGCAAGTTCATCAAGCAAACATGAAACGCCTCGAACCTATATTCTTTACCAAAAATAGACGTTACTATATGTGTATTTCAGAAATCGAAAATGTATTGAATAAACTCTGCTGAAACAAATAGAAAATTTTTATTTATATCGTTAAATATTCGATATAATATTAAATTAGGCTCATACTTCGATGGTACTATAACACGATCATCAATCGAAAATCTACTCAAGTAGAACAATTACATTTGTGACATGATCATAATTTATCACATATGAACGTGTTCAATGGTTTGCTATTATTATTTTAATTCTTTATATCATAGGAAAAGCAATACAATTGGCTAAGGAGGCAAATGTTGTCGCCTACTAAATTCTTTTACGAATCGTGTATGCAACTTTCTTCCTACTCAGTAACTATCTCATCATAAATGATTGTATGTCTGTGTATACGATACAGACGACATACGGGTTCGTACGATTGAGCCGTGTGTAACACATCATCATTCAGCTGTATACAGATTCTATCGTCTTCTTCCCTTAGCAAGCTTAGTTAAATAGAGTGATGTTACTTTGAAATACGAACGGTTCGATTTTAAATAAACTTAAGATTCAATCCGATCTCTAGTCTCTGTTTTCTTGTCGATGTATCAATCAGATAGCAAAATTAGTAAGCTGTATATTGCATATGTATATTTCATTAGTTTACTGAGCGTGCCCTGCTACAGATGACTGGCTGTTATTATAGACGATAGATAGCGACGTCTGTTGATAGAATTCCGTATTGAATGTTTTTAACTTGTTATAGCTAAAAAACAGATAACCTTTCTTTTCCTATGTTTTTTTTAATTGTATCAATCGACTAATATTTGGTAACAGTTTGTTTATTGAGTTTTTTGCCAAGTGGAAAAAATTGAACGTTCTTGATTGTTTTCATAATTACGCATATGCATATATCTATATCCTTGTTTTATATTTAATTTATTCGCTTAATTATTAAAAGTAAAGAAAAGCGAATTATGTTTATACGCGTCGCAGATGAATCAAAATCCAACAATGAAATCGTCGAAATTCCGATTGATGGTGATATGGATGGTTCTGTTTCCTTGAGTACACTCGCTGCTCAATTTCAAGGTGTGAGTGCGTTGAAATATCGGAATTCTGAGACGAGTGTGTGGAGAGGGTGAGTGAACGTGTTTGTTCTTTGTTACATTTATTCTAAATCTATATTATATATGTGTGTGTTGAGTGAAATGTGTGGTGGTTGTATTATCCTGCCATTTTGCATTGTTTCATTTTTTCGGTGAACTGAAAAAATAAATCATATGCTTTTCTGTTTTCTAAGTGTTCGAGTAGCAGATGGAAAACTGTACCATCCAGATGGTGTTTGGGATCCGGATACCGTATATGTCACTGTTTATTCTAAACGTAAGTGAAGAATTTTGACAGAAATATTTACTATTGTTGACTAAATAGCTGTTTCATCGGATATTAAACGAAAAGGAGTTGGAGAACAACAAGAAGAATATTCAATAACATCATTAGGACAAAGTAAAAATCAAAGGCTCGAATATGGCGAAGAAACTAGTACTGAAAATGAAAATGAGCCTGACCATCGTTGTGTTGATTTAATTGTACTTGGAATAAGTTATCGAAGTCTTGAAGCTGATGTTAAGAAATGTTTTGAAGTCTTTGGTGAACTTGTATTTTGTGAGGTAGAAAAAATTTAATATTTTAAAAAAGAAAATATTTCAACATTTTTTTATTACAACAAAATAGATAAAACGTGATGCCAATGGACAATCACGTGGATTTGGTTTTATTCGATTTAAAAATTATGAATCACAGTTGGCTGTTATTAATAAGCGACATTTTATTGATGGAAGACATGTTGATGTTAAAATTCCTGATTCAAAAGTAAGCTGATTTAAATTAACTTTATAATTAAAACAAAAAACTTTATAGATTATCTTAAATATGTATATTTTCTCTTCTAATTAATCTCGTATTTTAGACAAGTGCACATGAACCTGAATATGCTCGAAAAATATTTGTTGCTCGTTTACCAGATAGTATAACACCGGATGATTTGCGACAATATTTTTCTAAATATGGGCCAATCAAAGATGTTTACGTACCTAAACCAGCACGTTCATTTGCATTTGTTACATTTCATGATTCAAATATCGTAAGAACATTATTCGGTACTCATATGATTCATGGTAACTTATTAAATAGTTCTAAGATTTCTAAATTCTTCTATCTACGTTTATCTAGGTTGTAGTGTCACCGTTGGACCAGCAGAACCAAAAAATAAATTACCTGCAATTGGTGATTATCCAACATCAACATATAAACGAGCTAAACCAGATCATAGTAGTTTACGTACACTAACAGCTTATAGTACGTCACCAGCTCATTCACATTATCATCAACAATATGGTCAAACAGCAAATACTGATATGATGCAACGATTTTTTCAACAATATGGTACAACAACAAATGGTTCAGCTAAAGCACAATTTTCTAATGCTCAACAATCCTATTGGAGTAATGCACACGAAGAAGCAGCTGCTATTTGGCAACAACACTATCGATAAGAAATCTCTTGTTTTTTTTCTCGATTATGACATGTCTCTTCATTTTCTTTTCTCTTCCTTTTTCTTCTCGTGCACTTCAGTTATTGTCATGTTTTTAAATGTGTATGTGTCTGTACAGAGCGAAGACATTTAAAGATATATATATATATTCAAAAAACAAAACACAACAAGAGACTTTTAAGCCCATCGCATCGCTTTTAATGACCAAGATTTATTTTCTTGTCTACGTTCAGTTATAACCGTTTGTAAATAAGCAACATTTAGTGAAACTTTATATAAATCATTTACATTCGGTTGTTTTCCGATTAAATCCCATGTTAAAGTTTCTGATGATGTTGCATGAGCAACAATAAGAATATTCGTTGATTGTTCTTTAGAATTATTATGAAGTTTCTCAATTTCACGTATAACATGTTTCGAACGAAGATAATATGTATTTTCATGTTCGATTGGAGGTATGTGTCTAACAATCGGTTGATATGATAGATCAATATTAACACCAAATTTATACCAATCAATTGATTGAAAAAATATATTCATACCATATCTCGCAGCACCTAACTCTAATAGACCGGGTTCAATGCGTATAGGTATTTTATGTTCTAATCCAAGTCCTTTTAAAATTTGAATTGTTGTTAGTATACAACGCATTGCTGGTGATGAATAAACATAAGTAGGTATATAATATTTTGCACCTAATGCTCGACCAAGTCTCTTGGCAGCATTTAAACCAGCTACTGTTAATGGTGTGTCAAGTGCCCAAAAATATTTATTTGCTCGAGCTGGTAATTGTGGTGGTAAATTTCGATGATAAGGTCGATATTGATTCTGTTGATTGAATGCTAACATATACCAATTAGATCCAAAATAGCGGTCAACACGTTCACCATGTCTAGTTATAAACAGACGCATATCACAAGCACGAACAGATCTAATTGGTATTGGTTTTTGATGGTATCCATCTTGTTCACTAGGAACTGATAACGAACGCATACGAGCTATTGGCATAAGACATCGAATAAAATCTGACTTTCTTGATGATGATTTAGGTTTAGCTGATTGTCTTCGTTGTACTGGAAAAGAATTGTCAGTTTTAACTGGTAGTATTTCTTGAGATGCTTCAATATCAATAGGCATTGGTAATGTTAATAGAATATGTAGTTTATTTGGTGTATAATCTGATAGAGAAGCAACACCTACTGGTAATAAATCATCATCATAATTCGTATCGGTCATTGTCAATTTATTTTTGATTGTTTAGTATATATAATAAGACTGTTTTTCTTTTCACTATGCTTATATTAAGTGTTGACTTTCTATTTTATATATGTATATGTGTGAATATTTATATATATGTATGAAAACACCTGTATAACATTGAAAACAAACCTGCTCCTTGTTTTCTTTGATTTTAAGGGGGGGGGGGGGGGGGGGGAGGGGGGNAAATGACATTTTATCACACTATTTTTTGCATTTCATTTTACTTTATTTCAGTGTTTAAAAAATAAATTTTTTTTGCAAAATTTTAAATAAAATACATGACAGGACGTAAATACCAAATACGAGTAATCGCATCACGTTCAAGTACAACCGTATGTAAATATGGAACTTTAGCGCATTGGTCACCAAACTTTTTTACTTCGAAAGGTTTCTGTAAGGCAATAGTTGAAAACATTTCTGTTGATGCTGCATGGCCCACAATGAGTACAGTTGTACGTTGTCGTGGAAGAAGTCCATGATAAGCCGGAGATAATATTTTACCATGATGACGTTCGATCGAGTCAAAAAACTGTCGACTTCGATTATAATAATCCATTTCAGTTTCATGTGAATTTAGATAATTATTAAGACGTGAATAATGTTGATCAATATTGTAGTCTGCTTGTTTCCAATCACCTGTTGACATAAATGGATTGATGCTTTTAAGTAAAAGTAAGGGAGAATTCCAATTCAATGGTTCAAATAAGTATGGTTCAGGACGAATAGGTATATGACTACGATTCATTCCTTTCAAGATTGCATTTGCTGTTAGAATACTACGCGATGCAGGTGACGAATAACAGTAATTAACTGTTGCACCAACTCGGGCTAATTGTTGTCCTTTATAAATAGCTTTTTGTTCACCTGTACGTGTTATCGGTGGATCAAATACGTAAAGTAATGTATTGGAACGATATGGTAATCGGTGCGGCAATATTGGATGTTTAAAAGCTAGTGGAGGGGCTGATGGAATATCTCCGAATACTTTATCGTACCAATCACTACCCAGAGATTGATCTATACGTTCACCATGTCGAAGAATAATCAAACGAAGATCATAATTATGATTGGTTCTATAAGGTGACTTTTGTTGTTCATATATTTTAACAACTCTGTTTTTTTTATGATAATATTTATCATTATTTATAACAGCAGGAGGTTTAACTACAAACATTAGAGTTAATTTACAAATGTAGTCTGCAGTATTGTTGTAGGAAGAAAAAAGAATATAAAATTATGACTAAATGCAAGCGATCATGCGTATTAAAATGCATAAAACATGATTGGCGCATATATTCATTATCATCATCGTCACCATCATAGCAATGACTAATATTATAACATTATTGCGACTGAATTTAAATTGTATATTTTTTTCTGACACACGTGATTAATGAAAAAGGCAATAAACAGTAATAGGTATATTTGATTAGATCTTCTATTTATGATCACTAGTGTCACAACGAATTCAAAATGTAATGATGCATATCTTTTAATTAGTTGACTGATATCTAACGAGAAGAATGTTGATACTAATACTGCCGATGGCCTTTTCTGTTTGCTGAAAATGCGATATCAAATGAGTATCATTAAGTAGAATAAAAAGAAACAAATCACGATATATTTAAAATTGTGTCTCGCGAAAACGAATGATCATAATGTATAATCATACACTTAATGAGAAAAAAAATATATTTTAATTGCTAATTTTTTTTTATACATTCAAATGGATATGCCGATTTAGTATCACATGACGTCTATGTTAAGTAAGGGCATAGAAAACATCTACAATTTGACTCAAGCGAGACCGAAATTTTTTGAGAACAATAAAGTTCAATTGTCTTGAAAAAATAAAATAAAACTAATCAGACATAGCTACTCGGGGGATGTGTGACTACAAAAGATCACTATGAAATGAAAAATCAAAGAATAGAAAATAAAAACATGATCCCTAAATAATAATTGAAGAGAATGTATCCTTCGTACTTTCGATTTTCTTTTCTCAACATTGAATTCTAGACGAACCAATCATCGATTATTTTATATTGAATTTTTTGATACATTTATTCAATTCAAAATATCAACATCAATTTTCGTTAAGCATGTTTATTTTTTTGTATAGAAATAAATGAAACATAAAAACTACATGTGTGCATGACGTTTTAGTGTTCACAGCTAAAAGTTGATTCTGTTCAATTGAAATGAGCACTAAACGGACATTGACCATTCAGAAGTGATGTTCTTCTATTAATAGTACTCATGACTGATGGCCGTCGTGTTACTTTTATTATTTCATTATCCGATGTATGATTGGAATTTGTTCCAGTAAGATTTTCAAACATAGTTGCTTGTTGAATATTAGAGTTTAGAGTTTCTGCGTCGTCTAATTCAAAAGCAGCACGTTCAATAGCAGATATATAAGTTGCTGTTGGACCAATCAGCCAATAGGTTTCAAACGAACCTTTACCCTAAAAGTTTTGAATTCAAAAAACGATTTGCTCTTGGAAAATTCGCTGTTACTTTTAATTCTGTTTTTCCTTTATATTGGAGTTCAAAATATGGTGAATTTTTTAAAAGTTCATACGATGTACTACTCAAATGAATTTTACCGGGCTACAAAAACAAAAATATCAAGCAAATAAAAATATTATCATATAAATATTATTTACCTCTCCCGACGTTGTTATTCGACTAGCCTACGAGAAAAAAATGAATAATTAAGTAAAGAAAGAACAAAACAAAAACGCTATCCTATGCATAAAAGTGAACTATAATATCTTACTGTATTAACTGTATCACCAAATAGACAGTATTGAAAATTTTTTGCACCTACGATTCCACCAACAGCTGGACCAGAATGAAAACCTATTGAAAAGAAAATTTCTCTCAAAGTGGATATAAGGAAAACAAGAAGGAAATATTTTCTACCAAATTTAACTCGAAATGGTTGTTTTGTAATAGGATTTATAACTTTTTTGGAAATTTTTAGCAATTCAAGCGCAAGACCAGCGACGAGTTCTGCTTGATTAAGACCTAATGGATTTTTCATTTCTGATCCTAATTCATCCATTAGGGAAAAACCATTCGTCGTTGATTGACTCTATTAGATAAAAAGGAAGCACACTAATTGGTTCTTCCATAATAATAAAAAGTAAAGATAAAAGCTTTACTGTGGTTGATGCACGTCGTTGAGGATGTATGGAACGATCTTGTATACCAGCTACGACCATATATGATAAATCAGCTTTTGTCTCAACTTTAAATACATCAAAACGTTCTGAACATTGATCAAATGCATTAACTGTAGTATTGATAGATTCAACAATTTGTTGTGGATTTAATTTTTGTATAACGTCTTTAAAATCAATTGAATATCCGAATAGAACAGTTAATAGTTTATGAGACTAAAATAAATTGCGTTAAAAATGAAACCCTTTCTTTCTTTCTTTTCTCTAATGTTTTTCTTTTTACTTCGCATATTGAGTTTGCTAAAACACCATCTTGTAACATATTTGCAATGTGTCTTGGCATCATTGAATATAATAGACGTTTACCTTTTCGACGCCATTCTTGTAATTCTGATTTTGAACTTTGTAATCTTGTTATCCAGGCATGTTGCTTATCAATAGCTACTTGTAATGTTCGAGCATGTTGCATGCCAACAATAAGAATTTCACTGCTACCATCATAGAAATTTAAATCACGTAGAAATAAGCCAACAGAAAGCATCTCGTCGGTTGTTGCTAATCTAAATTTAGATACAGATTTATGTAGACATTATACTTAACTCTACAACATTATACATAGGGTGACACAGAAAAGCAATCATATTCCAATCTGATATTAATTTCATTTGTCCTTTAAGACGAATTTGAGTATTGTTCGAACCGAATTTTCTTCCAACTGCTGATGGATTTGTACAAAGTGGAATTTTAGATTCAATAACAAATACAATATGTTGACCGTATGAAAGTACCTAGACAAAATACTTTCATTATTAAAATTATTGTCTTCGGAGAAAGCAGAAAAACAACAAACTTTATTCCATTCAAGTATTATATCTGGTCGAATAAGACGAAATACATCTTCTAAAGCTCGACCAGATAGCACCGTTCCAACTGGAAATACATTTTTTATTGAAGCTCCCATATGAACCATACGTAATTGAGGATCAAGTACAATAGCAAATGGAAATACCTTGAAAATAAATAAGACACTCAATCTTTAAAGAAAAATGCATATATTACATCTTGATCTCAATATGATAAAAGTCATTTTAGAATATTGTAAGCTTCATCGCTTCTAGATATATTTCCCTTTTCTCTGTTAGAATGACCTGTCAGAAGTGATAAAAGTACAAAATAATTTTCTTACTTGAAAAAATGTTGCACTTGTCACATCATGTAATTTTGGGCCTTGCATAAGACGTCTTTGTATGGAACGTGCCATAAAATTATTAAAATCCACTCGAAAAACAAGATGAGTATCTAGATGAATGAAGATGTTCTTTACTTTTCAATCAACTTGAGAAATCTTACATTCATTTGTTGAAATGTCATCGCGCACACGAACAAATATCTCTTCTTTAAAAAACTTTGATGCACATTCTTTTAATTGTCCAACAATATATCGCTGAAATCCACGACGCCTTGATCTTAAAAAAAGAAAGAAAGAAAAACAACTGTTTTTGTTCTTTATTAAAAATAAGTTATGATAGATTACTTATAATGTAAAAGAACACCATTGTCATCTTCGTCAGTAACATGAAATAGTGGTGATTTCATTTTTGGAAAACTAAACCTAGTCGAATCGTGTAATTGATCAATTGAATGAAGAAAATCTCTGAAATGTCTTCCAGCAACACGTAAGATTTTATCATAACCATATGCTGTGAAAAATTTGACAAAACATACACCGAAGAACTCCATATATAAATCAGGTTCACCTTCATGTAAAATCTCCGATAAAGCTAGAAGAAAATTCCTATCAATATTAAATATATTCATATGCAAATGTATATAATATTACTCTCAGCAATTTTTTCAAGTAATAATTTCTCATAACGACCCAGTATTGTGATGGAATCATTTTCAAACCTTAAATCCTGTATTATGATTCTTCATGTTGCTTCTCCGTATACTTTACAAATTCCAGACCGACAGTTCTCAAGTAGAAAGCCATAGATCATTTTTTATTTTGACTCGTCTAACTTGCTTGTGTATTTATTACTTATATATAAGTTTTAGATATGCAAGCATATACAGTTTGTAAAAGAATTATTCGAACACCCTACTACACGAATGTTGTTGAGTAAATTTCTGAGTGAAGGAAATATATTTTTTAAACTCTGATTACATCATTCGATATGTCATCATCTCTATTTTCTATTGCAAAGAAAATAGTTTTCCCATGATGTAGTTTTCATAAAGTTCCAAGAAGCATTCGATTTTTCAAACAACAAATTATTCGGACACTTGTATTTTTTTCTTTATCGCAGCTCTGTTTTGTGTTGAAACATTTTGAATTAGATAGTATCTAATAGAGAAAACATTTTTCTACACGTTGGTATCTATAAAAATAGAAAAAGATGTTAAGATCATGTCGGAAGCGCATTAGTTTTACAGAAAATCATCGTCTTTTGGCTTGACAAAAATGAAAATCCAACTCAAATTATACCATCTGAAAGAGAAAAAAACGCTGATTCCAGATATTTCTTTTGGTTTTTAAAATTCTGAAATATTATGCGTAATAATTTATAATTCAAATTAAATGTTCAATAGGTTCCATCTAAGATTCTCAATTTTCAAGCAACTAAATGTATTTTTAGAATGTTTTGAAATATACAGACTTATAGAAAATAAAATTCTTTACAAGATGATTTGCTTGAATGCCCGATAGCTATTCTCCTTTGACACGGTGTAGACCTATCCGTTGACATATAATCTATTGAGAAGAAAGAAAAAAAAGCTTTTTCGTTCTGTTGCTTTCTATATATAATATATGCGATGATAGCGAAGGATGAAACTGAGCAAAATTGAACGTGAATGGATAGGTCTACACCGTGTCAAAGGAAAATAGCTATCGGGGACTCAAGCAAATCATCCTGTGAAGAATTTTATTTTCTACAAGTCTGTATATTTCAAAACATTCTAAAAATACATTTAGTTGCTTGAAAATTGAGAATCTTAGATGGAACCTATTGAACATTTAATTTGAATTATAAATTATTACGCATAATATTTCAGAATTTTAAAAACCAAAAGAAATATCTGGAATCAGCGTTTTTTTCTCTTTCAGATGGTATAATTTGAGTTGGATTTTCATTTTTGTCAACCCAAAAGACGATGATTTTCTGTAAAACTAATGCGCTTCCGACATGATCTTAACATCTTTTTCTATTTTTATAGATACCAACGTGTAGAAAAATGTTTTCTCTATTAGATACTATCTAATTCAAAATGTTTCAACACAAAACAGCTGTGATAAAGAAAAAAAATACAAGTGTACGATTAATTTGTTGTTTGAAAAATCGAGTGCTTCTTGGAAAACCTTCTCAAACTTTATGAAAACTACAGTATGGAAAAACTATTTTCTATGCAATAGAAAATAGAGATAATGACATATCGAATGATGTAATCAGAGTTTAAAAAATATATTTCCTTCACTCAGAAATTTACTCAACAACATTCGTGTAGTAGGGTGTTCGAATAATTCTTTTCATACTATATATATATATATATGACACAGGGGTAGATGCGTGCTTTATAATTATAATCGTAGCTCCCTGTCATTAGAAAAATTTATATGACAGTCATTTTCAACATGAGATATTAAACAATTCAAATTTTGACAACAAAGGCGTTTATTCAATTATATACACCAAAGACTAAACCATTAAAAATGAATACATACCTTCAGCGATGCCAAACATAAGGTTATCATCATACAGCTCGAAGAGATTTAAGTTAGTTAAACAATGTTGCACAGATTCTTCAACTTGTTCCAATAAAATTTTATCGTATTTTTCGAGAACAAAACTTTGAACAATACTTTCTAATAGGATACCGTAAACCATGACTTACTACTAGCAAAATACTCTCCTGCTAGTCGACTAACAAGTAGAGAAAGGAAGTAGGAAGAATTAATTAATTCTTTTTTTTCTTTAGCAAAGAGGATTCATCTTCAGCGACAATTTTTTTTTATCTTCCTTCATCACTATTCCATTCAGTATGTCAGATGATGAGATGCATATGCGTTCGAAAGAAAATTACTTTTATTTATATATTGTAAAGAATAGAAGATATAAATTATTGATATAAATATAGTGAAAGAAAAAAAAAGAAATGTTCTTGTAATCGGTATTTTTCTTTCTAAGCTGTTGCTGAAGTTTATTGATGAGTTCAAATAAAATGCCATTCAACATTTGTTTCACCAATGCCAATTTCACCATTTACAGCAAGGAATGCTTCTTCAGTTAAACCGATATCACCTGAAATAATAAGAATAGAAAACTGAAAAACATAATATAACAAAGCAAGATAATACTTTTACCTTCTTTACATTCAGCACATCGATCAACAAATCGAACAATAATTTCACCTTGTGATCCTTTAACGATAGCTTTCTTTTGACAAATTGGATTGTTGCTTGGGATACCATCAACAGTGTAGGGATCGAATTGAACTTGATTGAGAGCAGCGGTATAAACTACTTGATCTTCTTCGCTCAATGAACGGCTACGTTCAATACCACATGTTGAAAAATCTGAACCAGCTCTTGTTTCATTGTAATATGTTGCTTGACCTTGAAATTCACCATCAATCGATGCTGGTTTGGTGTCTTCCAATGATTTTTTCTTAGCACAATAGGTAGCAACTGCACCACAACTAAATATCCATCAGAACTGTATAGTACAAAACGAAACAATAAACAAACAAATAACATACTATCCAAATCGTGTACAACAGAGACCAGCACCACATGCTGAATGACCACAATTACCATAAGCTACAGTACCGCAATGAGCACCTGAAGCTCCACAACTACAGACAATGAAATAGTTTAGAAATGAAAATATCTATTCTCTTGAAAAATAATAATTCATACTATCCATATTGTGAACAACATGTACCAGCTGGACAACCAGTTGCTCGACAGTTAGTAACAACTTGAACAGGTGCAATAGCATAACCACAGTGCGCAGCGGATGCACCGCAACTAATTTATCAGAAATTTCGTGTTTGAAATATTTTTCTTTCTTTTGTTTCAATGATATTCGATACATACTATCCGTAACTTGAGCAGCAACCGCCACCTGGACAGCCTCGAATACGACAATCAGCGGTAGCATAAGTTGGATGTACTACTACAGCTCCACCACAATAATAGGAACCTGAACCACAATAACCATATGCGGAACAACAGGAACCAGCCCCACATCCTCCGCGAATCAAACAGTTGCCAGCTAAATAGTAATAATAAATTATTTACAGTCAAAATTCTTCTTCTTTCTCAACTTACCAACGCTACTAACAAGTGTGAATAATAATAAACCTACAGCAATCATGGTTGTGTATAGTGTATATACTGAATTCAAATGTAATAGTTACAATGAAACTTATCAATTCGAAAGTGTGTGGCGCTTTACGCTTTCTTGGTGCTTATATAGGCCTCTAATCTATGAACAAACATTCGTTTACCCAGACGTATTAAAAACATTTGTCCTTGACACTAAGATATTGTTTGACATTTTTTTTTGCTAGATACAAAAAACACACGATTAATCTTATATAATGTTATCATGCATTTTACACACATTTAGACCTGACTTTAAGGAATTTGAGTAAAAAGATCTTTTTTTTTATAACGTATCAAAACAACAAAAAGAAAACGTGATCTAAGAATGTCAAACGATGTGCTTAATCCAAGTTATAGCAGCAGCCTGAAATTGGTCTGTATAGATTAGAAAAACGATGTTATTTTTGTTTCAGTAGATATTTTTTCAGACGAATTATCATATTCAATTGGCTTTATTCTAGCTTCAATTTATACTTCATTTCAATTCATAGAAAGGTTTTGAATGTTAACAACTTTATTTTCAATATCTGAATAGACATCGAATAAAAGCATGATTGTTATTTTTTTGAAATCGATGATGATGATACAATAAACATGTGCTCAATTTTTCTTTTAGTATCCTCGCAAAAGCAGAAGATTTATTCAGAATGAAGAAAACAATCAATTTAACATATATCCTAGAGTAGGTCAAGATAGTAGATAGTAAATTATCATTAGTGTAGTATAATTTAAAAGAACTGCTGGACTGCAGAATTAGATATCTTGGATATATTATTCGATCCCATTCTTTCCAAACTATAATAACAACCTTGACGAATCTCTCCTTGAGATTGCAAATAATAGTTATATTGTATTTCATATAATAATCTTTTCCCATAAGACTTTGAAGGACTCGAATTAATTTACTGATACATACACTGCACGCAAAGTCTGATCAATTATCAATTATTTTTGTCCTTGATATCAGGCAAAAGTGTTTAAAATAAAATCTCTCATCTACGTGTTTGTAAAACTATTCAAAAGTGCTGTATTGATATGTTTCACATTATCGACCATTCCGTGTTTGTTAGGAAAAAAATGCAATTTTTCAACAAATTGCCACCGTACTCTCTTGTGATAAATTTGTATGTATCTTCGACTGTGCGTGCTCACCATAAATGATATGATCAGGAATCAGAGTATACTTCACAGTGACCGTCCAATATGCCATTCCTACAATCGACTTGTGTTGAGCAATGTGAACAAATGCCAACCTATCTTTTTCTTTTTTTTTGTAAGACTAAATTTCAATATTTTAACTATCAAAAATCGCCTCTAATTCAAAATTAGCATGTAACTTGGAATTGATACAAAAACAGACTGTATCCAATAGGTTAATTGTTTTCTTATTTTGAATATCATGTTTATTTAATAAAAGCATTAAATTTTAATATTGAAAATTCTGAAATGCAGTTTTATACGAAGCAAACAGACGTAAATATTGATGAAGATCTGTTGATACAAGGCAATCTTAGACATATAACACTCATGATAAAAACTGTGCAAGAGATGATTGCCTGAAAAACTTTTTCGCCAAATCAGATCTTATTCTATCAACTTTATTGTGAGTAAGGACGATAAACTATTGAAAAATTGCATTTTTTCTATCAATGATAGACTGATAAATGTATCAATGTATAGTTTATGATCTTCTTACAGAATCAGATGTGAGAAAATTTTTAAAAAATACTTTCCGTTTCTCAAGAAATAAAAATAGACAGCAATTGATTATATTATGCGTGCTCAGTCGTCTCCTCTAGTTAATGGTCTGTAATTCCTTCCGGTGGATATAAAAATAAGATTTATTAAACGTCTTTGATCCTATGTCAGCTCGCTTTAGAAAATGTCATATTTAGTTTTAAGTTTTAAATGGATCACGACAATGGAGGATACATTGTATCTATATAAAATGCTAGATATGAATGTTTCTTTGATTTATTCATCATTGCAAAAACAATTTTCAATGTCGTCTAATGAAAAAGATGAATCTTTTATGGATGAATAGAGTGCTTTCAGTAGTTGTTCACTTTTTGGGCCGGCCAAAAATACGCCACGGCGTATTCCGGCTGCATCATAACATTTTAATGGTGCCCATTGAAGAAGTCGTCTTTGAATTGATCAAAAAATGATTGTAAAAACAAAATAATCTTTATCATTGATTCAACTTACGTTATGGCTCGACATTCGGGACAATTATCTGAACGTGATGTAAATACATTATTTGTTGTTGGAAGCGTTGAGATACCAGAAGATAGAATGTCATTTTGAATTCGATTATTCAAAACAGAATTGTCCGATGATAGTGATAATGGTTGTTGTTGTTGTTGTAGTGATGCTGTATTTCCCGTACTTGTTGATGACGAAGGAACTTGTTGAACTGATGAAAATTGGTCATTCAATAGATTGGTAATTGGCTTATACATAGTGGTATTAGTATTCTGAATAGTAGAGGAAAGCGGTAGTTGGCGATATTGTTGATTTGGTACTTGTGAAGAAGCATGAGAATTATGTAATGCAGACAAAGCTGGTGGTGGAGGTAAAGGCGTCGTTGATGTCAACATTTGAGATGGTAATATAGGACCATTACTAGCAGTTGCCATTGGAGATGATGAAGGTAATGAACGACTATAAAGATGTTGTCTTGATGGTTGAATGTCAATTGGCGTTGAACGCATTTGATTCGAAGGATAGGATGGAACTATTGGATTTCCAATATTTGACACTGGACGTGAAGGTATTTCATGACGACTAAAATAAAACAAGCGTGATACATTTGCTTCAACTACAGATAGAAATTGTTCAACATCAAAAGTATTAATAATGAGCAAAACTGTTTTTCTTTAAATCTCGATTCTTACCGATATTGTTGATTTTGTCGATTTGAAGATCGACGTCCTCAAAGAATGATTCTTTAGATTATTGGGTAATCATTGACTGAAAACATACTTTGACTCTTACTATATGAACTGCGCCGGCGGCTGTGACTACGATCTAATCAACAAAATAAACAAACTTTCATTTATTCCTTTAGCAATAGTGTCTTTACGTGGGCTAGCATGAGATCGTCGAGTTTTTCTTTGACTTGATCGACTTCCTATAGAATCAATAATAAGATAATAAGCAAAAATTCGATGTAATAACTTGCTACGTTCACGGCTATGTGACCGTCGATTTTCACTTGTTGTATTTCGCGAGTGGCGAGATGATCGACGACTCGAACGTGAACCATGATCACGTGATTGACTTGCTAGGGCAAAATCATATCATTTCTAAAGTTTGCTTTTCTTCACTGATTGATTACCTCGTCGTCCATGAATCGATCGTTGACTTCGATGCGATCTTCGCGATCCTCTAGATCCACTACGACTTGCTACGATATAGATAAACAAAAGAATAGACAAAATAAAAAATAAATACATCGGCTAGCTCGGCTGATATTCGTCGATTGGCGACCATAGTTTCTCAAACTTTTTCTTTGATTTTTCTTCGCATGATTACGATGTGAAAATCCTGTTGCACAAACAAAAATAATCATATTCTGTAAACTAATACCTCCGGAATCATTAATTCAATCATAATATCTACTTTCGTTAGTTTTCTACAAGTTATCTTTCAATATACAACTCACTTTTTTTATTATGATCATGATTTTTTCGATATTTTCCCTTGTCATGTTTGACAAAGTCACTTTCATGCAACACAGTAGGTCCATCAGCACAAGTTGTTATAATACGAATAGGATGATACAATACGCATTCACCATAGGCTTGCCTAGATTGTAATGATGATTCACTTGTTTCCGAATCCATCATACTATTTCCATCACATTTAGTTAGACGAGGATTAATGAATGGGTTTATTCTTTTTCGATCATATTGTTTGGAAGCCAAATTCGTATTTATCCTAGGTGTATACCCACACATGCCTTGCTGATTTATATGATTAATGAGTTGTGAAAGATTACAAAGAGCATGCACAAGATTTTCGCTGTCATTGACTGGTAAAGATTTTTTTTGCTGACACGATATATCCATTGCATTATAAAGTTCTTGGAGTGCATGCAAAGCCGACTTGGCGGTCCGTTGGATTGACATAATTTGAAATGAATAATTCGTTTTGATTAATAAAAGAAAAGACAATAATCGACGTACGAGCAGAGATTAACAAATGTATAAAAAAAAAAATTTTTTTCGATTAAATTCTAATACCAGGCGCGAATTGTACGGTATTTGTTTTCGTATAGCCGTATTCTAACTAAATACAAATATAATTAATAAAAGACTCATTGACTGTAATTAACGTTTTTTCTTCTGGAACATTATCAAGTATATATTACGTATTTGTAGACTATGATCAATTTTTGTTTTTTTATATTTTTTTTACAATTAAATAAACTGTATCAATCATACTATATTTTTATTTGTATAAAGACAACATCAATCGAAAAGGAATGATATGTACATAACCTACGAAAATATAGTACCTTTTATAATTGTAGAAGCTTCTAGTAGAAACCAATTGAAAGCATGAAAATATTATTGAAGAATCACTTTTAATTGAAAAAAAAACTAATCAAACAAATATATCAATTATTTTTTTTAATGGTTACTATTTAAATATAGAGCCATGCAAAAAGAAAAAGAAAAATACAAAAACAATTCGAATATTATCTAACGAATGGTCTCCAAGTCAGCATAAGCACAAAATTTGGCAGTCGAAAAAACGTTCTTTCAATGCTTTTTAGAAACGATTGATCTCTATTGATGAACAAAACGAAAATCGATGGTTGTATCGCGAGGTAATAAAATAATTGTATTTTCTACATTATTTATATGTATATGTATGTCTACTCAAAATATTCCGATTAGATTCATAATCAAGATTAGAATATTTTTTTTACGAAAAATTAAGATCAAGAATCTCGTTTTTTCTGAGTTTGCAATCAAACGATTAGAAATGAAAATCACAACATCGCATCAAGTTGTGATAAGAGAAAAACTAATAATGTTTGTAATGCAATTGATTCTTAGGCTATTTTTTTTATACTATTCAAAGAATTTTACAAATTTTATTTTGTAATTTTCTTCTATAATAGTATAAATAAAAAATTATTAATCTCAAAAAATTTATTCACATGTTTCTATATTTCAAAAGAAACAATGTCGACAATTCATTCTGTTGATTTCCAAGGCCAACACAAAAGAAGACATATGTCAAACTGAAATATATTCTAAATCTTAATTGTTATGTAATTTACCTATAAATAGATCGTTCTCTAGTGCATGTTTTTGCTTATAGCAATGAATAGAATTAATTGCAAACAAATTCTATCCATCTGTATTTCAAATTCTTGTTAATATATAATATGGCAAAAACACGTACGTGTCATCAACTTATCTTATGAATGTCAGTAATGATAATTTGATTCAATTACGAAAGAAAATAATTATTATGATCATGCTACTTCTATCTTGATACTTATTCTTTTCTGTATCAACGGAGTACATTTACTATTGCGAGCAAGTTTTTTAGAATGATTGACTTCGATGATATAGTGTAGCAGTATTTTTCTTGTCGGTGATAATGAGAAAAACAATATATTACTGTTACAGTAAATACTAGCCAACTGTGATAGTTCTATTGACATAGAATAGTTGGAACTTGTCAAGCGTCATCACATATGTCTAGATCTATCATACATATTTGTTTTCGTACTTTCTATCAATATCTTTTATCTTAAACTTGTATCCATAATCTTATTTATTTTTGGTACCTCGATTCTATTTATGATTGTCTGACATTTGCTCAATGCAGACAAAAATGACACGCACAGCAGAAGAGAAACTTAATTACTTCCTACGAAAGAAAAAAATTAAGACGTCTCAATTATTTCCGCAATGTAAAGTGCCAACTGAATTCGATAATGATTCGGTATCAATTACGAATAAATCTTCTATCACATCATTATCTACAACGTTTCACAATGATTCTAGATCTAATGATATTTCATCAATTATTTATGGGACCACTATCATCATTTTTTTTACTGCATGGACATTTAGAAAAACAGTGTATGTAAATACAACGCTTTATAGTATATTTTTTTTCGTCTTTGAATTTAATATATGATTCACACCGACTATGAATAGGTCTGATTATATTTTTATTAGAAATAATTCATACGAACTCGATTCTGATTCGTTCCATTTTCATTTGTATTATTTTAATGATAAAAGAAAATAAAACTTTGTTTTTATATACTTTTTGTCCCAGTAGATTCCACCCTTACTACCAAACAGTATTGCCTCTTGTCATGTGTGTACATACGTACAAACTTTCAGTACTTTAGCATAATACAAAGTACCTAGGGTAAAAAAACTACATGTATTAGATAAAAACCATGATTTTTCCATTTCATAGTTTGTTTGATTCATTATCATTCATAATGAATGTGACACTTGCTATATGCTCGATTAATTCTTTTTTCACTAAGAAATATGTCCATAATTGATACATAGAAAATAAAAATTATTCACTATGATAAATAACTATTGATATTATCTTCAATGAACTTCTTTTTTCATTAGAAATCGAAAACATAACATCGGTGGATAGCAACAACATTAAACGTAATAACAAACTCGTTGCATAAATAGTTTATTTTTTTTCAGGAAATAATCTCATCGCGTGATGATAGCATTTTCATTTTTGTTTGACTCTGTCAATGCCAACAAGGACATCCTTCTCTCTACCTTTTTTCTTCTATATAAACAAAATTCTTGATAAAAGCAAAAAAAAAATACGATGAAGACAGATGATGATTATTGTATGTTTGAAGTGTTTTAGTCTTTGATTATATTACTTGTCACATTCTGTGTAGGTATTGATGCATTAGGTTCTTTTTTCTCTGCAACTATGTTATTTTTATAGAGAAACCATAGAGTTCTTATATAGCTCGCGTCAATAGTGAAAGTAGTATTCTTCTTCTTCTTCTTCTTCTTCTTCTTCTTCTTCTTCTACATTTTTCTTGCTTAAAATTTCTTATCTTCTCGATTTCAAAAAAAAAACGAGCAAGAAAAAAGGCAATCTATTTATTGATGAACAAGGTCTAGAGGTAAAGTTATAGTTTAGCATGTCTAAGTTGATAGACAACGAGTATAAGATGAATTCCTAATAGCTTCTTCGGATGATGAGTGAAGTTTTTTGGTATTTGATGTTTTCGAATCAATCATAAACTAGTAAATTATGATTGATCAAATTAGTTAAACGTATGATGATATATCTAATTAAATGAAAGTATTCACTATATCATAATTATCAGGCGAATAATGTGCGGATGAATAGATGCAAGCTAGATCAATACTATTTTCTTCATTCTTTAACTTCTTACGTGTTATTTTTAGAATAACGGTATTCTTGAGGGTACGCTATTTTTCTGCTGAATCTCGTCCTCTCAACTCACGTCATCAGTTCCTACTAATACGAGTCACAACAATAACAATAACAGCAACAATAGCTTTCAAACGACTGCATTAAACTGCTGCTTGACAAATAGGCTAACTGTAGCCCAATTTCTTTCTTTTCTCGTTTCAATTACTCTTCTTATATTATTTTATTGTGTTCGACTCTTTAAACGACACGAACCTTTTCCTTTCCAGTTTTTTTTTAACAACAGTCTTAGTAAAAATGGCATTAACGTCCGAGTTCATTATGCAAACGCACAAATAAAACATTTGTCGTCAATGTTTTATATGTCCAACTAAAGTGTATAAGCGTCATATTCATAGAAATAGTCGACAAATAAAAAGAGAAAGAGAAAAAAAAATAGAATGTCTAGTGCTCAGTAGATACTGAGTTGATTTATATAAGGCAGTAGCCAGCTTCTTAAGAGAAAAAAAAATCACATAGAAAATTCATTGTGTACAATGTTTAAGTATCTTGTCAGTCATAATCATGCCAATGATCAACGTAAGTTGTTTTATTAGTCATGAAAAAGAAAATCTCTTATAAAAAAACCAAAACTCTTAATATTCTATTAGACGTCTCATAATATCATGTTCTTTTACATAAAATATTAAGTTTAACTGAGAACATTTCTTTTTTGTAGTTTTTTCTAATTCATGATAGAAATCATTTATGTAACTTCTTCTAAATCCATAGGCGGAATCTTTTACACTATTTCATTGTGACATCTCTATTTGTTTTATTGTTTTATTTTTATTTTTTCTTGAGTGTTCTTCTGAGTGTAACATTGCAAGTAAGGTTACTACTTTCGTCACCGAAATATAAATCCTTTTTTTCTCTCTGTTTATTTCAGTCTTACTCATTTTATTCGTAATATATTCGATATGGCATCAGTTCGTTCCATTAGTGCATCAAAACCACCTGAACGTTTATTAAAACAACGCCTAACATCTACATCAACTCCAACATCAACACTTTCCCCAAGAAAATTAACACTGAATAGAAAAACTGCACCAACAGCACCGACACGACAAAAATCTTCTCGAATGACATCAAGAAAAGGCCCTATTGGACCAGTAACATCATCTACTAAAGTTAACTCGACTATTATTGAGAAAAAAAAGGACACTATTGAATTGGTAACAGACCAAATTGATACGATGCAAATCGATGATATACCTGCAATAAGACCTAGTTCAAGAGCATCGTATGCCGGAACGACTTCAGCTTCAATAATTGATACAGAATCGATTAGATCAATTGAAGAAAAGCCACATGATATAAATGAAGCATCCTCTTCACCATTAATAAATTTAAATAATAGTCAATTCACATTAGAATCCTTCGATACTATACGCACAATTGGTACTGGTAAGAATTCTATAGAATGAAGAAAAAAAACAGGAAGTTCCATTTTTTTCAATAATTTTGTTTTTTCTGTAGGCACATTTGGTCGAGTACAAATTGTTTATCATCGTGATAGTAACACGTATTATGCACTTAAAACAATGTCTATAAAACGTATTATTGAATCAAAACAAACTGAACATGTACGAAATGAAAAAGATATACTATCAAAAATTAATCATCCATTTCTCGTACGGTTATATTGGACGACACATACAAGTAGTTTAGTTTTTCTTTTGCTTGAATATTTACCCGGTGGTGAACTTTTTCAAATGATGCGTAAACGAGAAAAATTTGATTCTAAATTAGCTGTATTCTATGCAAGTGAAGTTCTACTTGGACTTGATTATTTACATCATTTAGATATACTTTATCGAGATTTAAAACCGGTAAGATAAATTACTGTTAAAAAAAAAAGAAAAAGTCAATTATCATATTTGTTTTATCAATATTGTACTCCGCTTTTTTTATTGTAGGAAAATATTTTATTGGACAGTGAAGGACACATACGTCTCGTCGATTTTGGTTTCGCTAAAGAAACCAAAGAACGTACATTTACCTTGTGTGGTACTGTTGATTACCTTGCCCCAGGTTTCAATGCAACTAATATTTTTCTTTTCCATTTAACAAATTTATCGTTATGCATTTTAGAAGTAATTCAAAATCGTGGCCATCACAAAGCATCTGATTGGTGGGCTTTTGGCGTTCTGATATTTGAAATGATAGCTGGTAATTAATAAGAAAATTGGAAAAAAAAGCAATCAAACAGTTTTCCTTTTTACTTGTAGGCTATCCGCCATTTTATGATGCTGATCAATTTGTCGCTTATCAAAAAATTATTTCTGGTAAAGTCGAATTTCCACGCCATTTTGATTATGCTGTCAAACAATTACTTCGTAAATTACTCAATACAGATCAAGGTCAGCGGCTAGGCTCAGCAAAAGAGGGTGGTGACGAAATAAAACGTGAACAATGGTTTGTTGGCGTATCGTGGACCGATTCATATCAGTTGAAAGTGAAACCACCTTTAAAGCCAACTGTTAAATCAGCAGGTGACACAGAAAATTTCGATGCATACGACGAATTCGATATAAAACTAACACCACAGGCAGCAAAACATGAAGTGCAACTATTTAAAGACTTCTAAACGTATAAAAATGAACTTGTATCTATTCTTATTCACATATACATATGCAAAAATGCTGAATGCATTTTATTATAATTTTCATTTAAACATTTATTTAATTATTTGTTGTGAATCTCTTTTCTCTCTTTTGTTTTGTTTTCTTTTCTTTTTCTCGACTTATTGTACATTGATTTTTTTCTGTGTCATAGACAATACCTGTAAGCAAAATTTTAGAACTGTATTTCGAATTTATTATCTAAACATTTAAAGAAGAAATATTTTTATTAATAATATAAGATAGTTTAACTTATTTAAAGAGCTTCAAACTCTAGTTTTTTTTCCAATATTTTTATCTTTTCATATGAATGAATTCTATGCGATGGTGTATCCGTTACATTATTGATGTGAAATTCCTTCCGATTTTCAATGTTAATGATCGTTACTTATTTAGAATGTTGTGCATGATAAATAAGTCTATACTTAGAAATAACATGTCATTGTGTGATAGATCTTGCTGTTTTTTTTACAAATTATTCTTGCTAAAAATGAATTACTTGCACATCATATGATAGATAATTAGTGCACATCAGGCAAAAGAATTTACATGGTTAGTGTAAGAGAAAAGCGAGTCGTAAATGAGTTGGAAAGTATTGGACTAATAGCACTTTCAATTTATTTTCACTATTTTAATCTTGATAAAAAAAAAGCAATTATCTTAATAAAATGATTATGCTAGAAAATCTCTGCACGATAGTCTATTTTGTTTGATGGATCTAATGTACTAGAATTTATCTCATAAGGTGCAATTGAACTGTCGTGCGAAGAATAAGATATAAAAAAATTTTTTTTTTAATTAATAATTAATAGGTTTCGTTTGTTGATTATGTACTGATATGATTCTAGTTTATCGATCGCATTAGTTCTCTCAACAAACAATAACTAAACATGATTTAATTCAGTGAAATACACACATACACACACCTACACCCTCAAGATAGGAATCGTATGGCATTCATTTTCCAAAAGTAACTTTTTCTTTATGCAATCAGATTGCAATAGACTCTTTTGATGCTTGTTTTTATGAAAGTGGCGCAATCTCGGTTGAATAAAAGCTGTGCACTGGTTGTCTCAGCAGGCAATTCTGTTGCCGATACCGATTTCTATAGGAGTAATCTTCATTCAACGCCTGCATGATCGATTTTTATTTTGACTAAGCGCAGACAACCGAGAGTGCATAACAAATGAATATAGCTACTATTATTGATCGTTTATTATTTACACATCAGTTATTTGCAACGAAACTAAAAGATTGAAAACATAATATATTTTTCATGATCCATCACCGTTCCCATGTTAATTTTTCATCGTTGATGCGTACATCGAAGGGAACAATTTTTAATCGAATAACGTATCTCGTTATAATGAATATCTAGTGCAATCTTTTGATGAAACAAAAACGTTTGAATAAGACAAACAGCAAGAAAAAATGATTTCGAAGAGAGCCTCAATGTGATTCTTCATCGACTATTCTCTATGTTTGAGTACAAAAAGAAAGTGAAGAGAAGGCAACCCAATATCATTCTTATAGTATTTATGAATATTCAAATTAAGCACAAAAGTTTTTCGTCTACTACAAATAAAAGTTTGATGATTTTTCGTTCGGTTATTTTATTGTTGATTTTTGCTTCGAATTAGAATTTTTTCATTCATTTCAAATCAATTCAATTAGAAGATTTCAATGTAAAATCTAATCTACAATATAATTTTCAATTCATATTAAATGTAATGTCTATAATGAACCTGAAGCACTTTTCAGTTGAGCTAAAAGTTTTAATTTGTTATGCATCAACTAATAAGAAACTAAACAAAGGCGACAAATTAAACGTTCAGTATTTTATTGCAAATGTTCAGTAAAATTTGTTCAGTATTATATACAAATTTTCAGTAAAGAAATCAAACTATCAGTGGAAAATTTAATGTTCAGTAACTATTACATTTGTTCAGTTAAGTAATTGTTTACTCAGTATTAAAATTAAAGTTTCAGTAATAAATTCAGTTTGCTGTTTCAAAAATACATTTCCTCAGTAAAAAATAGTGTTTTTGCCAGTAATCCCTTTTATTTTTTCGATGTATATTTTGATGTAAATAGAAGAACATTTGTCTATATTGACTGATGATGATATCATCAGTCAAACGATATTATATTACATAGTTGCCCTCGATAATCGTATTCATATGCTGCCCTACTTATTGATATCATGTTTTCTTGACCTGCACTTTATGTTTTATATTACAGGGGTGGTCCGGCTACTCAAAGTTTGGGCGATGTAAAAATTTCTTTTTAATTGATAAATTTTGTCTATTATTTCATGACCGTTCCATTTTTTTATTTCATCATATGTTAAATATTCTGGCAGGATGACGTTTAAAAAAATTTTTAAATCTAAAAATTTCTAATTATTGGGGGAGGGGGTGTTAAACCTCGCCCCCCCCAATCTGTCCACACCTGTTTTTATAGTTGTTCAATATTTTAAGTTATATATAGACTTGTGGCAACTCACAGTTCTAAGAATTGGTTCTTTTTTAAAGAACTAGTCTCAATTAAGTGTTTTTACAATTAGGCTCATTGTTGACATTCAGCGACTTTACACAATTTTTATTCTAGTTGTGAAAAAGAGCCCATTAGCATACCCAGTTTGTTACAAAAAGCTGATTTAAATATTCAGCTCTTTTCAAATGAGCTGGTTACTGATACCAGTTATCGTTCTTCGTTGAAGAGCTGTCACAGGCCTGGCAATATACGGAGATGAATATATTACATTCTTTCCTTGTGCTTAATTACACAATGGAGAAGACGATGCTTGGTGCTGTTTCCTTTTTTTCTCTTTTGTCTATCCCTATACAAATAGCTCGTTTTCTTTAATAAGTTGAATTTTGGTGTAATAAAACTATTGTTACTAATTTGAATTTAAAACGGCAACGGTGATCGATATTGCTGATGTGCCAACGTATGCTTTTGACGACGAGATGGATACAAGTGTAACCGTAGAAGGTGTGGGTTTGGGTGAAGGCTTTGTTTTATGACACTCACACGAAACGCAAGAGCCCATCAAGTTCAAGAATTGCTGAGTCCGGACCCAGGCGATTAAAATTTGTTGGATTCCACCCAAACCAGATCGATCAGAATTTTTGAAATCGAATCCTACTGAAGAATTTTTTCGTGGTCCAAAATTTAAAGGCACTGTTCAAACTTTGAATGAGTTTTTCTAATCGAGCAACAGGATCTTCAATTTTTTTTTTAAATAAGCTGAAGATTTTTTGCTTAAAACGAACCAAAATTAAAAAACTCATAAAATATTATAATATGGATCAAATCTTTTTGTCAATCTACCTTCGATCAGTAAAATTTGCAGACCCGGATCCAATGGAGTCCGGCTCCTACCGGAGCCGATTGCCTCTATTCCACACCCACACCCTCAGTAAAATTAAAAAAACGTGTTATCTATTCAATAAGCTTCTGTTAAGTATAATTACACTTTTTTACTGAAATACGTGATTAAAAACGGAGCAGAAATTAATTAAATACTGAACAAAAATTAATTAAATACTGAATATTTCTTTAAAAACTACTGAACATCTGATAAAAATTTACTGAACATTGGTAATAAAATACTGATCAATTGAATATAAGCCCTAAACAAATAGTCAATAAATAGCTAAAATATTGATCTTCCGCTTGTACATGTACACAGAGCTATAATGAAAAAAATTAGTACGAGAAAAATATTGCTATATTTGGTGGTAAATTGAAAGTATAATATATATTTTTGAATAAAATTAATTTGATATAATTTTCGTTAATGCGAGCTACATTTTCGAAATTTGAACTGCCAATCTATACGATAGTAGGAAGATTTATCGGTAGGGATAGCCATGATTTTCAATAAATGTTTGATTAAATTGTTTACAGTCAAAATATAGAAAATATCGTTCTACTGAGTCAATTCATCGATTTAACAGACTACTATGATTATTTAATTGCTATTTTAAAGTAACAATACTGTTTGAACTGTCCAGCTTGAAGATTTTCTAGACAGACAAAATTTTATTGATACAATACGAGAACTCTTTTAGGTTTTGTTTTCAAGAAATATCCTTTGCTAAATAACAATATTATTGATGTAGAATATCAATATGTCCTTCGAATGATGAACCGAGTAGCTTGTCTTCGTACTGTCTCTGTTGAAACACAATTTTTCTTTGTTATTTTCAAGAAGCCTTCATAATGTTTTCCATTTTTAACGAAGATTACAAGAAACCAATATCTACATTAACCCTAGATTTTCATCAAATATCTGAGGATAGTAAAAATACAAAAGACGTTTTTCAAACTTTCATTTTCTAAACATTTGTCGGGGTCTTGAATGCAGAAATGAATGATAAAAATATTCTATTTCCTTATATTATAAGTTTTATTTTTCTAATAGCTAGTACTTCCTTTCTCACTATACTAATTTTTTATTTTAGTTTAACCTTTCGTCAATACGAAGAGCTTATCATTAGTGAGACGCAAACTATTAAATGAAAGAGTCATACAGTTTCTTCTAGTCAAATAATAAAAACATGAAGTATTAACTGATCGATATAAGTAAATCATCTTTTGCCAATTCAAAATTATAATAATAGTTCTATCTTTTGAAACTACTTCATCAACTTATTCTTTTTGTGCACAAAAAACCAAGCGTAGGATTTACAAATTTCTGTTGTTTTAAAGAAATTTTCGGGTAAAATAATCTTTTTGACTGCAGAAGATTGTGGGTGGTTTCAAATGTAATGTAGAGGTTGCTTTAATTTCTCACTTTAAATTCAGATTTATCTATATAATACTTATATATATGTAACAGGGGAGATTGAAATCCAGGGCTATTTAAAATAGCCCTTAGGGGAAATTGAAATTTTAATCTCCCCTAGGGGAAATTAAAATTTTATCTTTTTCCGGTTCAATTTATGAGAAAAGATGAAGATTTTTATTTCAAAAAGTTCCGCATTCGCACCCACACCAACACCCGCATTATATTTTTAAAGTTCGATTATATCAGTGTTTTTCAAAGAGCTGAATTCGTACAAAAGACACGTTTTTTATTTGTGGGTATAAGTGTATCCTGTAGATGTGGGTGTGAGTGTGGGTGCGGGGGTGGGTGCCAGTATGAGTGTGGGTGCGAATGTAGAACTTTTTGAAATAAAAATCTTCATCTTTTCTCATAAATTGAACCGGAAAAAGATAAAATTTCAATTTCCCCTAAGGGCTATTTTAAATAGCCCTGGATTTCAATCTCCCCTGTAACATATACATCAAACTTGGAAGATTTATAATATTTTAAACACTTGAAAACAATTAAATTTTCATTAAGAAACTATTACTTTGATCCTAAACTACTCACAGAGCAAAAAAATCCACAGCGAAATGTAGTATAAAAAAATCAAGACTACCCATAATATTCGATACCTTGATTATCATTCGATACACTACAGGGAGCAAAAACCACATCCAAATGTGGTGTATTGCGGTTTTATTCAACCAATGGTTTCCATATGCTGCAATTAAGACGTACAGATGTAATTACATGTATATATGAATATGCATGCAATAAATTAGTAGGTAAAAATGTAATAATTACGCCACAAGTATGTAACGTATAATCATAAATATTAATTTGTATAGTTCATGTAATAGCACAAAACTATTTTTACACGGACGGTTTTATTTGTAACATGATCCTTTTTTTTTTTATTCTATTGATAAATGTTTGATTGCTGAATAAAACAAATGTGTTTGCATAGAGTACAAGTTAGACGTGAGGTAAATATGTATTTAATATTGAAATTCCGTGACAACTTTTTTTTATTGCATATTGGCTATCATCCTCATATAGATTACTGTCTAATGTCATATTGTAATTGGTTCTTTTCAGAAATAGTAATGATAATTAAGTTGAAGAGAAAAATGTTTTTATCCTTTCTCTATGTAGATGAAACTGCGTGATACAATTAGTAGATGTGATAGATGAACGAGCATATATACGTTTGCATTCATTTGAAGACGATCTCAAGTGTGAATCTCAAATATTTTAAAGTGATAATTTACTATTGCATTATAATAATCGTGTCAATAAGGAGATAGCTAATTATTTATAATAACTTTACATTTGCAATAGTCGCGTACGAGAAAAATTTGTTTGCACATTATTTTCACAGTATTGTTTGCTTTTTTCTTTATAATAATAATGCATTCAAACCCGCTAATCAAACTTTACTCTATCGATCAAATATTTTCTTATTTACAGATTGTTGAATAAAACTTGAAATACACCAGATCAGCTGAAAGCAATGCTTCTAATTAATTCAACATATAATAGTGAATTTATTTCAAATTATAGTGAATAGATAACTCTTGTTTTTTTTTATCATCGCTTCAATCATAGTTACCATATGACTCATTCTATATCATATTTATTAAATTGCATAGTTCTTTGGACTGAAATCAACTGATGACTATGATAAATATAGTGTCTGTATGATACACGTGAATATCCTATTTCGAGGTTCTATATTAGTAATCGAGGGAACCATACTACTCTTTCAATTTATCTAGGGTATGCGCCTTTTTAACTATATAAGAAATAACTCGGCATAATAAACACGGAATGATTATTTTTTCATTAAAAAAAATATTGAAAAATCCTAACAAAGGTTTCTCTGTGGCATTCACTGATGTATTTTTTTAACACATAATAATGGTACTTTTTGTTGAATAGGCAAGAAAACAAGAAAAGAAGTCTCTAATTGAAGTGACACATACGTACATAACATTTTTCTTGAGACAAATGAAAGAAAAAGAAAATAAATTTAAGAAAAGGGATTCTACTAGCGACCATTATGGACTATCTTTCCCTTGAAAAGCTCCATTTGTTATTGGTTTTTTCTTGGTAAATCGTTTTTTCCTCTCCCATTCAATTGTTTCCATTTGAAGTTTAGTAAGTTGTGCTAATTTACTTAATATTTCTTGAGGACAATTAGTAAATGGATCAGGATAATCAAAATTATCTAAATTATTTCAACTAATAAAATAATTTACAAAATCTTACTATCAACAGTACCTCTAGAATGTATTGACTTATCTTGTTGTGTACGTGATTTTGAGTTTTGATTATGATTTCTTTGTGTTTGTTGAGATGATACATAAGTAGATGCAATGGTTGTGGGCGCGGGTAATAATTGTCGTGTTGAACGCACTGCTGAAGACATATTTAACTTAAGTCTTTCAGTTGTTATTAACATACTATTTGTTGTTGTTTCAGCTATTGCCCGTTGTCGAATGGTATTTCCACCTGCTGCTGCACTTCGATAAGTGAATACAGTTGAATTTGTTTGAGGATGACCGCTAGCACTCGTCGCCATTTGATTTGTTGGATTAGAACCAACAAGTGAGTCAATTGATGATGGAGTAGCTACTGAAGATTCATGATGTACAATTCGGCGTTCTATAGTAATAAACAATGGACATGCGTAAAATTCACAAACAATACTGAAATAAGAAAGAAAAGAGAAAATTTTTGTTACTTTTTGCCTGGCTTCTTGCGCTGCCTTGCGCATGTTTTATTTTTTAACATTTGATGTTGTCAATTCTTTTCTTACTTGTAGGTATTCTGTTCGTTCGTCAAATCATTCTCTTTTCTTCGTCATCACCACTCCACACATTATTTGTTCTGTTCCTCCTTCGCTCTAGACTCATACACTAGAGATTTAAGCAAAATGCAATAAAGATGAGAGCGCCAAAAAACAAAAAGAAAACACTGAGTAAAAATCAAGGTGAAAAATAGACATGGATTGTTTCAATGTTCGTTCAATCGAAACTTACTTTGTCCTTCAACTTTTAATATTGGACTTAATCTTGATGGCGAAAGAGTTTGCTGTTGTGATTTGGTAGACATTATTGTTGCTGTTGTTGTTGCCATTGATAATGTTGAATGTTTACTTGAAAAGGGTGAACCGGTATTTGCACTGTTATGTGTATCTATTTAATTCAATAAGAATTACTTAATAAGCATCAAAGCATTTGCTTTTTCATACGTTCTTTAGGTACTTTAAGTATCATAACATTATTGTTCACGCTATTTAATCGTTGAGTTGGTTTGCTATTTGTTGAACTGACGATTGTTTTAAATGAAGAAACATAACGTTTTGTTGGTGGTGAAAGTATTTTTGGCACATCTATATGAATAAATATATGATATGATATCTTATCTTTACTTTTTTTTCTTCTTGATTGTATACCTTGTCGTGAAATACTAATTGATGATTGAGCTAGATTTGATGATGAAGCAATGAATGATTCCACTGTTTTATCACCAAAAACTTGGTTTCGTGGTAATGATTGTCGATCGGATTTAGTGATTTGTGTTGTTGATCGACAAAGTTGATCAGATGATGATAGTCTATTGATAGAAAACAAGGGAGTAATTATTATTTACGAGCGTGTATTAAACACTTTGAAGTTTCTTTGGTTGTTATTGTCGATAGAATACATTTCCAGTCGGTAAAAGATATAGGAACTTGATTAGTCCATTGGAAAAAGGGACTATCACTTGCAGAGATTATCTGTTGCATTTACAATTCGCAATGGAAAGTATTTTTTGTGAATTCAACTATAATAAAATGATATGAAAATCGTTCTTGTCTACACACATACTTTTACCCTAATTGATGTTTGTTTGTTTAAATGATTAAACCGTTATAAAAATGCTTCGTTCTTACTTCGCCTTTTTTTTCGTTAAAATGTTCGTCGTCATGCACTTTGGTCAAGTAGTAGCTGCATCTTACTCTATCTAGAGAAATATTTCTAACACTTGTTCAAAAGAGAAAAAGTGAGAGAAAAAAAGAGAGAGAGAGAGAGAGAGAATGAGAAAAACAAGACTATGATATGTTTGTAATCAAATATCAATAATGAACCAAGAGAAGAAATATTTAAAAAGTAATTGATGCTCTTGGAAAAAAATGATCTTTATTCCTGGCATTAACTAAATTAAAATATATGAAATGTGATATGAAAAAGTACTTTAAATAGAACATTGCTGCATGTTTATGCAATAATTATCAGGAAAATAAGAGTTTATGCAAACGATTTCTTAACAATTGAGTATCTAATCAAGCAAAATGACACTTTTGATAAAAGTCAGCTTTACTATATTATTTTCCGATTTGCTCTGTATGAAGCATTGCTTTCCTTTGAACAAAAAAACTATCGCATCAAACTTTGAATCAATTTTTAATCAATATTTGCCAAGGAAATGAATCCTAGTATTTTGAATTATTAATGAACGTGTTTTTATGTAGCAATTAGCCTACAGATCACTACGATATGTGTTTTAGGTGAAAAGGTTGATTCGACAGATGGCGTTAAATTGCAATGCAACTAGACAAAATAAGTATTTATTAAATAATGAATACTTATCAAGTTTTCGGTTTATTTAATCATATTTGTTAGTTTGTGTGATAAAAATTCTTATGTCAGTTTCTGTTGAATAAAAATTGATCCAATTGAAACTATCAAGACGAGTCTGTCCGTTTGTGTACCTCACGCTACTTTCTTTTGTACTCATTCAGCAGTCTCAGTTCTTTGGCTTTGAGTATTATCTTAAATGGCGTTTGAAAACTCTACGCAACCTTCTATGGATGAAATCCGTTTACTTCTCATCGGTCCACCGAAAACTGGTAAATCGTCTATAGCAAACATTCTTGCTGGCTACAATGTATTTCCAGTTGGTTCGTCAAGTTCAGTTGAATCTGCGACGCCAACAATGCAATCAAGACACTTTACTAATAAAAAAATTCTTGTTGGTAAACATCTACTCGTTGTCGATGCTCCTGTATGTTATCTTTGCAATTGAAAAACAAAATAATTCATAGGAATATTTCTATTCTAGCCTTTATTTATATTAAAAGATGCAACATCAAATGAAAAAGATATGAGACGGTTAGCTAAATGTGTTGCACTTGTCAGTCCTGGCCCACATGCAATTTTTCTTATACTTAGCTGTGATGATGCAAAAAATGAGCGGTTCGATATGAAACAAATTGTAACGACTGTTTTCGGTAAGAGAATTTTTTATTTTTATTTTTATTTCTTTTTTGCGTAGAAAAATATTCTATTCAGATTGTTAGCACTTTTAATGATTTTTGACAAGAATTTTCAAAATAGATTTAAGAAATTGAAATCAATTCTCATTATATGTATCGATTTGTCTAAGAATAAGGTAGATGGAAAATTATGAATAGATGTTTGCCAATAGAAATATTCTTAAAAATATATGATTAAGTGGTAACCAAATTGCTTCTGATACTCTTAGGATTATTAACTAATATTCATTTTTTAGTTTTTCTTCTATTCATAATTGAAGATAAAAGATATGTGAGACGAGCTCAACTGACTCTGGATGTCTTCTCTTCTAAAAATAGTACTCGATTACATAATCTATCAAGTGATACTGTAACACTTTAGAAACATCTTTAGGAGTAAGAAAAATAAATCGAAAATACTGTTTTTATTTTGAATTTTACATTAGATTGATTCAAAAATCCCTTCATAGACAACGAAAAGCTTGAATACTCTCATTTCTTTTCACCATAAAAAAATCACCATTTCAAATTTATGTCTATAATTAATACTTCAAAAAAAAATACTACTCTTGAGTATCACGGGTTTACTTGTACGACAAGCAACTATCCTGGACGAAATACGGATTTTCAACAATTTCTAGTTAGTTACTACAATGAAATTTTAGATATATTCAGTAATAAAATATGAATGCTGGATAAAGATTTAGCTGGAGTGACACAACTACAATGACATAAATGTAACAACACTGATATGTCATCAAGTTTTAGTCTGACAAAAATAAACCTTTGTCTATCAATCATAATCCTGAAACGTGTTATGTGTAATAAATACATTTTACTATTATAGATATTTTTGTTCAATTCGACTTAACCTTTTATTTAAATCTTGATTTTAATCAGTCGTGACTCTATCTAATCGAGTTTAGCACATGAACATTATCACGTGAATAATTACATTATCTGAAATTCAAAATATATTTCATACTGAGGCAGGTTTTTATACGATACTAGATATTTTGTTCCGTTCGGTGAACCTTCAGATTCATGGAAACTTATGTTCACTAAATTTTCTGATCGTTAATCATTACATTTGAATAATAAATTTGCGTTAATTTGCGATTAAAAATCAAATTTGAAGTTGGTTCTATCAGTTTTGGAAGATTTGTTAATTCTAATTGTAGCAGGAGTCTATCAAGTGAGGCTTCGGAATACTTTGTATTACGACCAAAAACCTTTTTTGAATATTATGAAGTGAATCACACTATATGCCACGTAGATATAATGACAATTCGATGGTGAACGGAAGAGTTTTAGTATAGAAATGAGTATCGATCAATAAATGAAAGCAATTCATTTCTTTTACGATGAATAGTAAGAATCTTTCTATCGATTTCATTGTTGATGGATCAGGCACTGCTGTAAGTATTCAGAAGCATTATTAGTATTCTTATTTATCTAATAATCATCAATGACTTTGAATAATGATTATGTGAAGGCAGTGTCTGTTATTTTAGTCGACGAAACAAACATTAATCCACTCGAGTTCGAATATGTACAGAGAATGCCAAAGAAAACAATGTACCATACTCTTAATAAGGGCTTCCGATTGTTTTCGAGGTTGGTAGGGACTGGAAACTAGGTAGAAAGTTTTAAAGTAATAAAAGAAACTGAAACTAAGGCGATTTTTCTATAATATGTTTTGTGAGAGAACGTATTTTTATAGGATTATTTTGTTAGAAACAGAGCTGAACGTGATAAAATGTTGTTTTCTCACCAGAATATATTTCAGAAAGTTTGAAATATTTTGAAAAGAAAAACTCTACGTCATTTCTAGTTTACTCAATAATACGATCAACAGTTATATTTAAAAAAATGCATTGGTTTCTAGAAATTTGTTGGACATACACGCATCAAGACCTGATTCTCTTTTTTTTTTCGTAGATTTTTGTAGCTGACTATATCTAATGCTCAAACTCGAGTAATATCGTTTTCTATTTTATTTTAGGTGCCGAAGCCCTCCGTCAATCCATTGTTGTTTTTTCATTTATTGATCGTCTTGAAACGAAAGGTATACCTGTACATGATTGGATAAATAAAGAATGTAAGCAACAAGCATTACTCGAAGCATGCGGTCATCGTTATTTAGTTATTGATTCTTCTCATAATGATCAAAATAAGCATATAGAATTTTTAAATCGTTCGTTAACAATGTTAAATGAATTGTGGAAAACTGAACAAATTTTCAAATCGAAAATGTTTGATGATATGGAACAAGAAATACAACGACAAGAAAAAAATCGTTGGGATATATTTCAAAACAAATGTGCAAATAATTTTCATGGTTCCGAAAGCGCTCTACGTATTCTCTTACGCGAACATATGCGCGATGAACTTGAACGAGAACCAATTTTAGCTGAAGCAGATTATTTGGTAGTCGAAAAATATCTACAACCCATAGTAAAATCTTTATTACAAGAAGTCGAACGTTATCTCGAAGAAGAAATTGCTAGTACTTAATAAAATAGCCAATATTTTAAAAGACGTAGTTTCTATTTATGCTATTGAATGTTTTTTTTCTTTTGATTTGTGAATGTCTAACAGTAAATCTCAATCAATTGATCGAACTATTTCTGTTTCTTTTATTTACTTTGTATCAACTATAATTATCTTTTTTTCCTTTCGTTTGGAAGTACTACGTTCCATAGATGGGATTACTATTTTTTCTTCAAGGTAGAAATCTGTGTTTCATGAGTATTGTAGACAAATGTCAGTGACATTGTACTATATAAAAAGAAATAGAATTCTTTTAACGTGAAAATAAGATTCTTCTGTCAAGGAATTCGAAGTCACTCTATCTGAGTTAGTCAGAAAATCACTTAGAATGTCTGAAGATTTTTCGAGATATAAGATTATGCTAAAAAAGTTCTGAAGATAGAAATTCCTCTGAAATCGAGCTCTATTTTTGTGTACTCAAAAAGAAAAGAGTACACTATAGAATCGGTCAGTGTCCGTCCGTCCGTCCGGTCGTCCGTTTATTCGATAACTCTTCACAATTACATTCGATTGAGCTGAAATTTTGCGCACAGAATTGTCTCATCAATATCTAGGTCGAGTTCGAAGATGAGAAGGATCCGTCAAGAAATGGCTGAGTTATCGAAAAAATTGTCATTTTTGATCAGGCCATCCCTGAGGAGGGGTACAGGGATTTTTCAAAAAAAAACGTTTTTTTCTCAGAATTATCAACAACATATATAAATCGACTCAGTTTTTAACGCTGATTCTAAATCTGATATTAGTTTTGAACTAAGTCATAGCTTTCTAACGAAACATCGCCTGAAAAACGTCTCAAAATGCACAAAAACTGCATCCAGAAATCAAATTGCCTAGTTTCTCATGATAATTTTCGTGTTCAGACATTCTGGAATAACTCATATGTCGCATGCACATTTTGCAGTACACATAACTCTCGGATGAAATCCGAAGTTTCCACATTTATTTATTTTATTGAAACGGGAACAGTTCTGCCATGAATTTTAATCATTTGTATTGATTAAATATTAGCATAAAAATATTGCTCTTGTCTGAAATTATTGAAAAATTGATTTGCATAACTTACATAGACGATGAACTAATGAAAATTTCAGTAGCAGCAGCGGCCATTCGTTTTTAGATAATGGTTGTTAAAATTTTACTCGTATGTTTTCATTTGCATCCGTTTAATACATCTACATTTAACCAAACAACAGCATACTTTCTCTGGGCTTGACTATAATAATAGATGAAAAGGCGAAATTCATAGGCGATTTAATAATCGAAAACAGCAAGGTAGAAATGAATAGAAAAAAATTTTCGTTGAGTAAAGAAACATGCTTGTTAAAAAAAGAAATACGAGTGCAATAAACATGATTGTCGTTGTTATTGACATTATGTTCATCGTTTTTAATACACTTGAAAGGTTTTCTTTTAAACTCGAACGTTTTAGATTATTTTTAAACATGAGTCGTCTCTGGAAGGTCGGCTCAATATTTTCTCGTCTATCGGGTATGGTTGAAGGTGGACATTTAAAAGGATCCGAAATACCTATTTGGTACTCAATATACAAACGTTTTCCACCAGTACGCGAACCACGTTTTCTATCATTAACTGAAGGCGATATACCTAAACTACACGAACCACCAAAATTATTATTCGATGAAGATATAATAAGAAAAGATTATTATGAAGATGTTGAAGATGGAGAAATAATTAAATTAAAAAATAATGATAGAAAATCTCGATCACAAGTATTTATTGATGAATATTTTAAATTAAAATCGAAACAAAAAGATTTTATACCACATCGGCAATTATTTCGATTAACACTGGAATATTTGCAACAACATGGTCATCCAATTATGTTTAAAACAGGTATACAAAAAAAACGCGCACACATTCAAATACATTACTACTATTATTTTTTCTTGTGTTTTTATTTGATCAACAGAGAAAAGACAAATACTTCTCTATTCATATTTGAATTTTAGGTGCTGAGCAAAAATATCCAGAAATCGAACTACAATCTGATGAAACAAACCAATCAATTGATAAAAACAACCAGCAATTACAATCCAATGTCAAACATAAATCAGATTCGATACCTAATCTAGGTGAATTTGTAGCAGAATGGGAACGTGATAATACAGAAGGTTATTTTCCTTTGGGTAAAAATACCTATCAATATCGTCGTCTTCAACCTCATCGTACTCAAACATCATTTGGTGAAGAAACTCTTAGTGATTCTGATGTTACTTATCGTCGTACAGATGGCTATGTACATTCAACTGTACGTGGTGATGAAGTTAAACAAAAAGAGAATCCATATATGCCAGGTGAAAATATTCAACCATTGTCACCACCATCATTTCTTCAACAAAATATGCTTCGACATGGCAAAGTACATAATGTATTTACACATGCACAATATGAACAGGATCCATTTCTACGTTTACAAGATCGAGTGAAAGATCTAGAATATTGGAAAAAACCACCGATACATACTAAAGTCTTTCGAAGAAAATTTAAAGCAAAGAAATTCCTTGTTGATATACCGGGAATTTATGAAAAAAAGTAGATTTTTTCAATGTTTAACGTTTTTGTTTGTTGTTTTCAAAAAAAAAAGAATACATCACAGAAATGAACAAATCTTGTCTAATATTTATTATATTACTAGAAATCGAATGAATGAATGATTAATTCTTTTTGAAATTTATTTTTCTATTGCTGGACATGTGTGTATGTTATATAGAATCAAAATTCATATTCGAAAAATTAGTCTTGCAGACTTCATGCAATTTTAAAAGATTATTCAGGCATGCGCACACATCAACAACTCATCATGCACATTAGATTAATTTAGATATTTCTCTACATGACATTAAATCAAGGTCGAATTGAAAAATATAATTCATCAAATGATCAGTGTCTGGAAAGAAAGATTTGTCAGCATTAAAATACATCGAAGGATTGTCTATCAAGTTTTATTTGAAGTACTCAAAAACTCGAAATCTAAATAATCAGAAGATTATGTAGTAAAAAATTGGCCGTGTTTTCTTTTCATTATTATTCAATCAGTACAAACATTGAATAAAGAACATTGCATGAAGGAAAGAAACAAAAGGGAGAGAACGAGAGAAATTCTTATTTGAAATTTCTATGATTAATTATATAATGATAAATTTCTATTTCCTTGTAATTTAGATATGAATTCACTTTTATCTAGTTTTTCTTCGAATCCTTCATCGAACACCAACATCGTTGATAATTGGCCGTCAGCATCAAATTTTACTCAATTTGTACATGATGCTCAATCGTTTCTTCTTCTCCTTTCTCATATTGAAGAAATTGGTTGGTCATCAATACGACTTACTTCATTATTGAACGATTCAATGCTTACACTTCATTATACATATATTGATTTAGGAGATCGTTCACATGATTTATATATTGATATACCACACCGATGGCCAAATGAACGACCACGTTGTCGTACACATCTACCAGTTGAATTTTCTATTGAAACATGGTGTCCAAAAACAAGTCGTCTTCTTGAAATTATCAATAATTTTCGTTCAGTTGTTGATAGTTTACAATCATTCTGGGCTCAACTAACTGAACTAGAACGAGATGCAATCGTCTTGGATGAAAAACCTATTTCATGTGCTTCAACAATAAGACGTTTAAAAATTAATGATAATATACATGTAAAAATTCAGGTTAGACATTTATCTCTAACTCTTCCTACAATAAGGATCAAAAATACAATTTCAAGGCTACGTACTTTTTACTGCGTTTATGACTTGTAACAAGGAACTTACCGAAAACTCGAATGAAAAATGTTCCAGATAAAAACTTGTTCCCACATAGACTTCATAATTCTTAAACTAATTTAGATGTTATATGGGAAAAGAATCATTCTTTATCGAGCTATTAAATTTGACAGAAACGCTTTCATTTTATCGCACCGCATGCAGTGATACTTGACTTAAAAGAAAGAAACTCATTATCGTCACATAGAAGCAGAGATTTTCATCATGATATCTAAAATCGCCATAAAAGCTATTGCACATACGTAGGAATTAGATGCAAGAGCTAATGTTTCTACTTTGAATTTTTCGTGAGATAGTTCATCATCGGTGGAAAATCAAAAATAAAACGTCAATATATCGGAGAATAAGAATCGTAGACTTATGAAAAACCTATCATCACAAAAATTTTGAATCATACAGAGAAAATTCTGAGTAGAACTCAATCAAAATTTTAATTCTAGATTGATCCATATAATCCATGTGCATTTCCTTCCATTACATTTCATGGTCCGCAAATGATAGTTCGGTCATTTGATGAACTTCTTGAACAGAATCGTCATCATTGGAATGAGGCACATTCAAATATAATACTAAATCTTGAACATATGTTGGATATAACATTTCCAAGTAATATTTTTTTTAAATCAAAATCTCAATTGAAAGATGATCAACAACAAGAATGCGGAATATGTTATGAATCAACTCTTAATGTGAACGAAACAGTTATTTATTGTGAAACACCAAATTGTTTTAAGCAATACCATGAAAAATGTTGGAAAAGTTGGCTGAGAAAAAAAGTTCCGCAAAGAGGTGGTTGTGATGTTTTAGATATTGTTGTTGATGAACGAATGAACACAACAACAGCTAGTGGACCTTGTCTTTTTTGTAAAAAAAATATCATTGTGAATTAAAAAGACAAAATAATTTTTTGATGCATCAATCAGTTTCTAATAAATATTTATCAAAGAACTACAGTTTATTTCCTTTAAAGAGAATAAAAACAAGTTTCATTGCCCATGCATTAAGTAAGATACGAAATAAAAAATTGACTTTCATTGGTAATAAGTAAAAACTCATGTCAACTAATCCATCGAGATGATCATTGTTGTCAAAATCAAAACAAGATGACTGTAATTTCAAAAACGTAAATCTAATTTGTTAATTTCTCTATTTTTTTCATCTATAGCTACTTGTCATAAAGATCGTTTGATTAGTGAGATAAAGAGAAACTTTGAACAGGATTATTTGAATTCTACTTTCACAGTCTATTACGTATCGAGCATCAGATTTGCTTATTGACGTCATAATTAACTGAAGTTCGCCATGTTCAACACTAGCTGTTGAGCGTCGATGACCCATTGATAGAGAAACAACAGTCTAACTAAGAGAATGTATTATTTCATATGAATTTCTAAATATAATTTCTTCATGCCATCAGAAAACCATAAGAATGTATGCAATCTGATCAGTGAGAATTTTTTATTCTCGATTGTTAATAGTAGCCAGTCCTCTTCTAACATACTTCTTTGATTCAATGCATTGATAGATACATCGTGTTATAGCAGTAAACATCGCTATATTTTATATTCCCACCGTATGTCATTAGGTTGCATTGGATAATTGACTTATGCATAAACTTATCTAATAAAAATTCTGTACGCTCCATATCCAAAAAGCATTTTTAAAATGGCATGGAAAACTCGAATAAAATCAGTTGGATATTTGAAGTTAAATTATTTTTAGTAAATGCGAAAAAATTTATTCGTTGAAGGATATTCAATCTTACCCATTACTGTTTTCTATTACAATCTAGAGACTTGAATTAAAATTAGTCATATTTAATTACAGTATGCAGGTAAGAAAAATTTTAAATTCCTAAACAGTAAAAGATCAATACGACAGTTCTCTAATATTCTATTTACGCTTTGGCTGTAGACAGATCAGCTTGTTTCTTCTTCAAGATGCATGGTGTTTATTCATTAAATTAGTTGTTCATGTTTGATATGTGTGAACTATTTCCGGAAAAATAATTGTAAACTCGTGAGAATATTCCATAAAGTCTATCAAATGATAATCATTCTGTGTTCAACTTACCTAAGATATAAAATCATAAATATATTCTGAGTAAATAGTTTTAATATGCATAAAATTCTTTTTATGAATATGTTAAACAAACAGTAGCAGCTTAGTTTTCATAGATAGCTTCTATCATCATATGATTTAAATATCAACAAAAATAATCATGTAGATTTTTCCTTCGTCGTACCAGTAGGATGTCTTCTTTTATGGTTGGATAATGGCAACAATCTAACAAAAACATATTTCTAACCAAAGTTCTAAGAGTAAAAATTTTTTTATCTCGATTAATAATGATATTTATATCGATATTGATTGTAAAAGTTGAATTGATTAATATATCGTAAATACCAATGAATTTATTGAAGATAAAAACTGTCTTCGATGCACGTCATCGATTTTGTTTTCAAGATTAATGATGCACTTGATTACTTTGTGAGTAAAAAACTGTCAGTCATGAATCATTTGGTTCAATACGATAATTTAACTTGAATGATTACTGTCAACATTGACTATACAGCTTTAGCGTTTACCCAGTTCGAATTTTTCAAGAATTTTTTTTGGTTTAATTTTTACGTTTTATGTTAGTGAACTGTTATAATTACAGATCTCAAGACTTGAAATCTGAATAGTTGAATGAAATTACGATAGAAATGAATCATCGTTCGATCGCTATTATGTATGAGAAAGACATAAATTCTTTTATTTTTGTTATGTTTACATCAAAATTCAATAGACTTCAATACTTAGTTAGATTTTGCTGAGGATATCGAAAAAACTTAGTATCAACCCATGAATTTACCTATGCATAGTCTTGTTCATATGGAAAAATGAGAGCGAGCAATGCTAAGAGCAAGACAACTTAGAAATTCATTTTCCGACGAACTATTGTGTCAAGTGAAGAAATTAGTATGTTTCTGACAAAGTTTTGATGGAGAAGACTCAAATTTGATAGATATATTTATCATTTCAATTTTAACATACAAGTACTTTTTTGTAACAATAAATTTTAATTAAAAAATATTAGTATAAACTTGAAAAAGAGATCACACATATTCAGTTTGCTGTTGGTTTGAACATTATTCTGAATAGTTAGTGAAAACAATATTTTTACGTTTTCTATATTAATTAGGACGGGAAAACCAAGTAAACAATAAAAAAGAGAAAATAAACTCTTAGTGTGTTTTCAGTACTGACGAGTATATTCTTAATTAAAAAGCTTTTTCTCTGCCTCGTTCGTGATAATATCCTGTTTTTGTTTGAATTAGGTATGCAGAAAATTATTATAACATTTGAGAATAATGCTATTATCGTACGAGTATCATCTTTGAATCTATGTGATTTTCACATAATGAATTGAAATGTAAATTAATACTCTGTATAACAGGAAACGTTGACTCTTTCACTCGAGCAATAAAAGTCATCCATAAACATACCATCGAAGATTAAAATTAGATAATAGAATGCTACATAATCTGAAGTAAATTTAACATATACAAATATGACTTGATATTTACTATTAAAAAGTCGAGAAAATTTGAATAAAAAGACATGTGTAAAAATTTTTAATTAAAAATTTGGTCATTTTCTCAATATTATTTAGAATAATTATTCTAGACACAGTCGGAAGTTGAGCTACGGGCGTACATAGGAAGTTTCAATGTAAAAAAAAAGCAACCTCAGATTATTCTAGATCGTAGTCGTTGTCGAGATATAAATAGCTACATCACAAGGATGACTGTAGGCAAGAAACCATAGGCATCTAGCCTTAATATGAATGAGTAATAGAAAAAATGGAAATTTTTAACTACTTTGATACGAGAAGACATTATTATTAATTTATTCTTAACAGATTTTTTTTCTTTAGTTGATGACAGCGTCTATAGTCAAACTGCTGACATTAAAGTTCGATGAAAATCTCGTTTTGTTCCATCTCTTTGCTCGATTATCTGTACAGACAACAAAAACTATATGTTAACCCGTTCAAAAGCTATAGGAGAAACTGCTACTAGCAATCTACAGTAAGCAGATGTCGCACATGATTATGTCAATGAGTCTAAATAAATAAAATATTTACTAATAGAATATTTTGACCAACCGAGATCAGAGATTAAATTATTGTTAAAAAGTTAAAACATACGATATAATTGTAAAAAAAATACTATTTCAGAGTGAATCATACTTTGATTACTGCGACAAACCAATCTTATTTCCTTGAAGAGAAAAAGAGAGACATGCATAATAAATAATAACTATGATTACATATATATATAAGAACGACGACGACGACGACGTCGATGTTATTGTCGCTTGATTATTTTTATTAAACGTTGTCAAGAAAAGAAGCAAGAATGTTATTAAAGTATTTCTTGTTAATTTTTGTCACTCGAATGAAAATAGATGGGTAATACATTTATAGCAATACCAAATACCGTTTCATTGCCTATATTTGGGGTAGGCTTAACAACTCTTGGCTTAAGTTTATGCTTTTGTTGTTATTTATGGCGGTAAGTTAAGTTTTTCTCAAATGAAAAAATAAACAAAATCATTTCTTTTCTTAGATTAAGACGCGAAACTCTTAGAGAGAAAGGATATCGAAAAGATCAGTATATGCGATGCAAAGTTAAAAATCCCGTAAGTTTTTTTTTTTGATAAAAACAAGAAAACCAAAAAAACATGTGATGTTTTTTCTCTATTCAGAATTGTGTTATTTGCTTGGAGGATTTTTACGATGATGAAGACATAGCTGTATGTCCATGTGAACATGCATTTCACAAACATTGTCTATCGCCATGGTTACAACATAACTGTACATGTCCTATGTGTAATATGTGTATCAAACCGGAAACATCTGCTTCATGTCAATTGCCCGATATAATTTAACATAGATCAATTTTAATTAATCTCTTTTATTTTTATTTTCTTTCCATTAATTTTGAGTCAGTTACATCAAGAGAACAGCAATTTCTATATGCATCTATAAATATCTGAAATTTATTAACTAGAACAAATTGTATTGTTCTTTTGTCTTTTTGCTTTTAATTATTCGTTCTGTATATATTAAGATGCCGTGCTCAATTTGTTTTTGATGAAATAAACGTGTACGTAATCCATAACTTTCGATTCTTAACGGACATCGATAAATAATAAAAGAAGCAAAATGTTAATTGTTCTTTTCTTCTTGAAAATAAACATGAATATGATTACATGCTATTCGTACTAATATGATAAATACCCAGAGATGTTCTGTTTAGAGACCTGTTATTTTTTCTATTCAAGAACAAAATGGTTGACTTTCATTGATGATTAAGTTTTGATCAGGTTTGAAAAGAAATATTATATCAAGATACGTAGTTGAGGCCATGAGTTTTTTTTTTGAAGAATCTCATTTGTTTTAATCCTATTATAGTAGGAAAAAAGATTTACTTGACATGTTATTTTATGCTAAATATTATGAATAACCTAAACCACGAATTGCAATCCCGTGGAACATGGCATCGGATAAAATGTTCTGCCATGTAGCTTGTGAATTTTCTATAATAAACACCTGAGTGTTAATAGATATCTTACACTAAATACTATGATTCAGTTTTATTGGAACATGATTCGATTTTATTCTAGTGCTAAATTTTATTGAATACATAGTATCATGCAGATTAGTTATCAACAAGAATCGACTGATGTCTATTATATATTAAACTGGTGCATATAAAAGCTGAGAAATTAGCAATCGAAAACTAGTGCTTTCATTCCGTTTCATATTTGATAATTGCTAGGTTTTTAAAGTCTTTGTGTAAAACAGAATGCATATTTGAAGGTTACCCAGGTCGTTCCT